CTCCGGGAATTGTCGTTGCTCCAGACACCGACGCCGCTCCAGACACCGATTTCTCACCAGACTGGGCCTGCATGAACCCGTCCCCGGACAAGCAATACTTGGTTGTCTGCAGCCATGGCGTAGGCCAACTCATGACCAACAAGCTCTTGGGTAACTGTCTGAAGCTAAACAGCGATATCGCGTATAACGTCGATTCTTTCATTCAAGATTCAGGTCTGAGGTGTAGGTTCTACAACGACCGCCACTCAGACTGCAAAGGCGAACCCATTTACACCGCTCAAACTCTGGATAAGCAACACCTCTTCAAGATCGATGCGAAGTACGGAACTAGGTTCAAGTATGTTTGGTGTTACAAGGGCGACCACCGGCTGAGCGATGTTCCTGCGCTCGAAGCTCGAGTAGCGGATACATCTCTCGAGGCGACATCTATCGCGGTTGAGGAACCGTCCGGGCTCATCGCGCGACTCATCAGCGATACCGGCTACGCCTTTGAGTATCAAGAGAACTTCGCTGGGCTCTGCATCAAACTCCCGGACACGGTATCTCGTCATTTGACGCACGCAGCCTTGGTCGACCATACCCTCTGCAGGTTCTACGAAGGCGGCTGCTTTACTGTTATTAAGCCTCTCTTCACTGCAAAGAGCGAGGCCCCCTACACCAAAGTTCCTGTGCCATCGGATGTCGGCAAGAAAATCACTCACGCTGTCTGTGGGCCTTCGACTGCTCCCCATAATGAGATCGATGTGCGAGCGGATGCTATATCTCTTGAAGCTAGCCCGGCGGCCGCTTCCGAAACAACGGCATCTTGGGAGTACATAGCGAGGATCTTCAGCCCCACAAGCGACTTTGCTATCATGAGCGACCGCGACAGGTCCTGCCTTATGTTCGAAGGCCCTTTCTCTCATAATGTTACCAAGGTGAACATTGGAGCTCATACTCTCTGCGTGTTCTACGACAACGACTGCAGTCTAGCCAAGTACCCCGTCTTCACCGTTTCAAGCACCACGGAGCAGTTTGTCAGTCGCGACGTGCCAGCGGATATCTCCAGGAACATTACCCACGTCATTTGCGGAATAAAAGACCATGATGCGATCGAGACACGAGCAGATGCTACGACGTTTTCCCCAACCCTTGCGCAAATCTCCAGCAGCACAAGCAAAATGTCTGTCACTAGCGAAAACGGCCGAGCCTGCGTTATCTTGAAAGATCGTATTTCCCGCGATGTTGCCAGTGTAACTGTTGGAGCTCACACTCTCTGCGTATTCTACGACAACGATTGCACCCTAGCCAAATACCCCGTCTTCACCGTTTCGACCGACAAGGCGCAGTTCACCGCTCGAGACGTGCCAGCGGATGTTGGCAAGAAGATCACCCACGTCATGTGCGGGAAGAAAGACGGTTATGCCAGCATCAATGCACGAGCGGACGATTCATCTCTCCAGACCACAGCCCAGAAGACGAAGATGGCCCGCGTCCTCAGCGATACAGCCGACTTGTATATCTATGACGACAACGACGCGGATTGCGTTGCGCTCAGCAAGCATGTGGCTAATGACGTTGTCGGAGTACAGTTGGAAGCCAACATTCTCTGCGTGTTTTACACCAACGCCTGCAATATAGCCAAGTTCCCGATTTTCCGCGCTTCGAATCCTTGGAGCAATGTCGTGAGTGTGGATATCCCGGGGTATACTGGCCGCGACATCACACACGTCGCTTGCGGGAAGAAGCATACCCTTGATGCTGAAATCGATGCGTGGGCGGCTACTGCACCGTTTGTCGATGCCCGAGCGGAAACTACACCTATCGTCGACAGCACGGCTCTGATGACTTTACAAAAGGACGGTCCATCCATCGCCTACGTGTTCAGCAGTACTGGTGGCATGTTTGGTATCTACCCCGCAGACGCCAACATCTGCATCCCACTTAGCGACTCTACTGCGCACGATGTCATCGCCGTGGCTGTACACGAAAACGTCCTCTGCAGGTTCTGGGAGAACAGCTGCGACGTATCCAAGGGTCCTCTGTACCAGGTTCACTCGGACAAGGGTGACGCAGTCCCCAAAGTGCCGTCAGACATTGGCAAGCAGCTTACTCATTTCATGTGTATGCGTACTAAGCCTCAATCTACAATCATTACGCGAGAAGTACTAGACACATCGATGGCCGACCCTGGAGCCATGGCCGTCCTATTCGGCAGCACATCCCAGCTTGGCATTCATGATGAAGACACCAAGAAGTGCATCCAGCTTGACGACTCTATTGCGCATGATCTGATCGCTGTGGCTGTACCCCGAAACGTTTCCTGCTCGTTCTACAAGGACAGCTGCGATGTATCCAAGGGTCCTATTTTCCTTGTTGCGTCAGGTCAGGGGCGTGGGGATGTCCACTATGTGCCCTTGGAGATTGGCAAGAGGCTTACTCATGTCATCTGTGTGCGTACTCAGCCTCACGCTGAGATCGTTGCGCGAGAGGAAGGTTCTCGGTCCAATGTAGCTCTCATCACTTCCGCGGCCTCTGCAGCCAACACACCGGATCCAGCTACCGACTTAACCAATACCCAGATCCAATACCCCAGGGACGGATACAGCCCCGTAGACCTCCCAGTCGGCGATCTATTCACCTGCTCTTATGAGCAAACCGATAGCTGCTGGATCATGGATGCACTCAACGATTGTTTAGAATTCCCTACGAACACCGCCCACAACGTCATGATCCTCGAGCAGGCTAAGGGGACGTATTGTTGGTACTACAACAAGCCTGGGTGCAAGGATAGTGATGAGGTTTTCCATCACACATCGGCGCCAGGAAATCCGACTGCATTTATTGGGACCTTCTTCAAGGATCTCGCGAGTGTAGTGTGCGGAGGTCCCGGTGTGACATCTGAGCTGGAAGTCATTCCCCACGACCATGCTATCGAAAAGGTCACCGCCGTAGACAGGCCCATCTACGCCGACGATATCACCAAGCGCGATTCTCTCCCCACGGACTCGGCACCTTCATGGACACTTCCTAGAATCATCCGAGTGGGCGAAGTATTTGCCTGCTCCGAAGACTTTGCCTCCGGCTGCTGGTACATCAACGCCCAAAATAAATGCACAGATTTTCCGGCCCAGGTCGCCCACAAGTCCCAATTCATCATGCAAGCCAAGGGTACATGGTGCAAGTATTACCTTGAAGCCGGCTGCTCGCACGAAGCGTGGCAGTACGTATCGACTCCCACGGATCACACTACGTTCGGGGTCAAGACCAACTTGGTTGCGAGCGTGGAGTGTCAAGCTTCTAAGGCGACTGTGAACGAAATAACCAAGCGCGACTGGCCCCCAGGCTCAACAACAGTCTGCCACCAAGCGCACTACCAGTTCTGCACCGACAACGCCATCAATGCCATCCAGCAATGCGCCAACTTTGCTCCTGCGGATCAGGGCCCGATCTCGATCATCCAGTATGGTGGCGCATACTGCAAGTGGTACCGCGACTTTGGCTGTGGAGGTGGAGAGGACAAGTCGCCCATGAGCATTGATTCTAGGGGTGGAGAGCAGTGGGTTGATGACTTGAGCGTGGAGAACAGGTTCAAGAGTGTCAAGTGTGAGACGTATCAGTGGTAGGCTTTAGCTGACTGCGAGTCTTCTTGGACGTGATTCGGAGGCAAACGTAGCTTCTTTGGATACCAGGTAGTTGAATAAGTAGAGGAATGAAATAACGTTCCCTCCATTTTGACATTTTGCGTGTCTTCGTGTTGATGTGGGCTGCAAACCCATTCAACTTTTTCCCTACGTTGACGTGACTCGAAGGATTCTGGCCCGGTAAGCGTGTCAGTAAGGCGCACTTGACATGTGCGCTTTCCCTTCTTCGGTTAGCACGAACATGATATAGCGCGTCCCAGGGAACCAACCCTCCTACCCCGCAAACTTTCTCTCCATGTTTCGCGACGTTTGAGTAACCATCGATATGGATAGTCCAGCTGATCTCGATGCTTTCTTCGCCTTTCAGAATAGTCAATTCGCCACAGACCACGCCCTAGATGATGGCAGCTTCGCCGGCTTGTCGGAAGCCCTAGGGGCCTCGAATGCGGTGCCGAATCAGTACAATGAAAGTTGGATGATGGATCCGTCACTTCTTGATCTTTCGAACCATTCCACCGCCTCTTCGTCCCCCTTCACGCCAAGCGCATCAATATCCAGACCTAAGCTTGGCAGTCGCTTCTCCAGAGAAGTTATCCGTACACTCAAAGACTGGCTCACTGTTCATCAAAAGCACCCTTACCCCAGTGAGGGTGAGATGATGGCTCTTCAAGATCGAACGGGATTGAACAAAGCGCAGCTCACGAATTGGTTCGCGAATGCTCGTCGGCGTGGGAAGGTGCAAAGTGTCCGTCCAACCTCGCCGCAAGTAAAGAATTTGCCCAGTTCTCCGGTTGATATCATTCCAAGGCCTGGAACGCCTGCGGTGAGGATGTCGTCGAACTACAAAGACCCTATGCAGCGTTGGGTGGAATCGCCGCCGGAGCATGAACCTGCTGCTGTTGGCGATATTGCGCGCGCGATGGCTTCTACCTCACGTGAGTGACTGATTATCCAATGCAATGAAGTTATCATGCTGACTGTTAGTAGATGAAGATGCTGGAGACTTCGCGTACCATCAACCATGGCAGTCGCCTTACGCCATGTCTTCAGCAAGCAGTGCAAGAACCTCTCAATCGAGTGAATTCTCGGGTCATTGCTCGTCAGGCTCGCAGACATCACTCAAAGTACGTCGCGCACCGCGGAAGAAGCGGACCACTCGGCGCCGGCGTCTTGACTCGGAGAGAACCGCACCTATCGGCATGCCGTATCAATGCACGTTCTGCACTGAGGTCTTCAAGACTAAGTACGATTGGCAACGTCATGAGAAGTCACTTCATCTACCGCTGGAGAGATGGATCTGCGCACTCCAAGGCTCTCGCACTACCAAGGAGTCGATCGGAGAGCAATGCTGCGTCTTCTGCAGCGAGGTGCGACCAGATGACAAGCATATTGAAGCGCACCACTATTCAGCGTGTCAGGAAAGGAGCCTACAGGAACGCACCTTCCACCGGAAAGATCATCTCGTTCAGCATCTGCGCTTGGTGCATGGCGTCGAGTTTTCTGAGTGGTCGATGGCGCGCTGGATGCTGCCTATACCTGATGTCAGATCAAGATGCGGATTTTGCGGTACTACTATGAGCACTTGGCTGGAGAGGACCGATCATCTTGCCGACCACTTCAAGTCTGGTGTTACGATGGCCAGTTGGCAAGGTGATTGGGGGTTTGATGCATCCGTCATACCGCTGGTTGAGACTGCTATTCCTCCTGGTATGATGACCTTGGCTTCCTCATTGAGGGTGTATGGATGCTGACATCTTCAGATCTCATCGATTGGGAAAGAGGTACTCTCATCCCCATGAAAGGTAGCGACCCATCCTGGGGTACACCACCAAACGCGTACGAACTGCTCAAAGTCGAAATCGAGTTTTTCATCCAGCGATATTTCGACAAACATGGGTACTTGCCAGACAACGATGCGATGCAGCTAGAAGCCTGTCGCATCATCTTCGCAGCTGAGACCACTTCCGTCATGCATGGGCCAGACACAAACCATCTTCACGAAGTCTCATGGCTACGAGACCTGATGATGTCATCACATGAGCTGACTGAACACGCGAGATTCCAGCCCGTTCGATCTTCCCGCGAGAGCAGACATTTTCCGTTGCGCATCAATGCCAAGGATCATCTATTCGAACAATGCCCACTGGAGGCGCAGCTTCGTGGCTTCGTCACTCAGCGCATAACTACTGGAGAGACGCTCGAAGATGTGCAACTGCATCACGAGGCATGCCAGATTGTGCGGCGCATGGAGCAAGAGTCCAGTACTCCATCCGACGTTTTCGCGAATTGGATCGTGAAAGGGATCTACTCGGGCACAGATTGGATTTCGCTTTTCAAGCAACGCGCTGGCATCTCCGATGTTGTATCCACCAATGTCCCGGCAGATCATGGCTTGGGCGAACTACTGGACCTCTCGTGGCCAGCCTCGCCTCCCAAAGAAGCGTCCACCTCCGCTCTCGGGATCGCAAGTCCATCCAAGCAAACCCACGACTACTTCACTACGCTTCCCACTTTCTCGGAAGAACCCATAGTCTCACCCGAATCTACCGCGCAGACGGACATGTACGGTCGGTTGCGATCGCTGCTACCGGACGACACAAACTTCTACCGGATCTTTGACAGCGACATGAGGAGATGGGCGGCATCGACGCTTTCACCGAAGAACCCAAACTGCCACGTCCCTTCCGACGAAGAGATCCAGCATCAGGCGCGATGGATCATGTATGATGGTGACGACCCATGGAACCAGACGCCTGCGGATTTCCCGAACTGGTTGTCACGGTTCAAGAGGGAGGTTGGGATTGTGGCGAATGACGAGGGAGTGAATCCTGTTGATCTGGTGATGTGACTGCCGTGAACTGACGATAACATCGATCAGGTGCTGCCGCCTAGAAGTACGCCGACCTTTCCAGAGCTCGTGCGCAAAGAAGAAGGCTTGGGTGCTTGCTACGGAGGACTCCAGAGATTCATAATCCCTTGCACTCACCAAGACAAAGCATATTCTCTCTCAACCCTCCGCATCACCGTGTGGCAATCATGAGCTCTCTATCACTGCGTGCATTTCGGCCCTTGCTGACCTCATTGTTTGAGTATGCCGGCTATCCTTTCGTCACGAGCTCTTCAGCCCAACATACGCCCTTCCAGTCGAATGTCGCAGTTTCATCAGCAACCAATACCGAAACTGCTTCACCAGGCCAACCCAAAAACTCCCACGATGAGCCGCCCGGCCCGTTCCGGCTATTCTCACTGCCAGGGGAGCTCCGCAACATCGTCTACGCTCACGTTCTCGAAACAGACGAGGCCATCCTCATGGCGCCATACCACAAGGAAGGAGTCTTACATCAACGTCTGATCCTCCACGATCCGACCCGAAACCTACAGAAAGACCTAAACCAAATGAAATTCGTCTGCAAACAACTCTACGAAGAAACATCAGCTCTCCCACCAACCCGCTGTCCAGAACTAATCTTCCCTCTCCGCAAAGACACCCCCGAATCCGCTTCTAGTATATGTGCAGAGTACATCGCCAGCGCCAGACCCGAGCAGCTCACCAGCATCCGCCGCATCCACGTCCACGAGCGCATCGCATACAGACAGTGTCCTTTCTCGCCGCACCTCTTCGACCCTTGCATGAACCAGCTCGTCACATTCGCCACCCACCACCCTTCCACCTCAATTCAGACATTCCTCCATGCCGTAGACCCGAAGGTCTCCAACGAAACATCCAAATTCCCCATCGCAGGCTTCTCCTACGAGATAGCTCGGAAACGGGTGGAGCACGGATACTACAGCGCGTGGTACAACATCGATAGGGTTCTGGACGAGATGGCGGAGACGTGGTCGGACCATGCGTTTGAGCCGCAGCCGTTTCCGGAGAATTTCGTGTTTAGGTTGGGGTGCGGGGTGAGGTGGAGCAATTGGCAGCAGTGGGTTGGGTTGGAGTTTCCAAGGCCTGCACTTACACATACGGGGCCTAATTATACGGGGAGGTATAATATTTGGTTTTTGGGGCGGACGTGAGGCGGATGATGGAGATGGTAGGGTGGGGTTTGGGGGAGGAGTGTGGTTAAAAGGATGGTAGATCTCGTGTTGGAAGCCATGGGGCTGAGGTTATTGACATACATGAGATGTCATCCACCATACAAGCATCACATGTGCCTGAAGAGAACAGTAAATGTTTACCAATGATCTCTACATTCATACTAACTACGTGGCAGGAGGAGTGTCCGCCCTCAAACCTCCGCCTCCTCCATTCAACCCTTCCCACCCATTCCCCTTCAGTTCTTCGGTCCCGGCGGCTGAGTAAAGCCGCCATTGCGACGCGTGCCGTTGGAGGACGGCTGCAATGAGGGAGAGATCTCTCCCGTCGGAGTGAGACCGTTCCCAAAGCCCGAGGGGGCCATTTGTTGTCCAAGACCAGGTGCTGACTGCAGCGACTCGGCTTCTTGGCTTGATAGCATGTGAATGCTGTGATACTCACCTCCATGACCCTGCGAGAACTGCGGGACATTTGGTCTAAGCGGCTCAGCCGCCGTCTCTATGTGGGCACGTGGTGCAGGGGCGAAAGCAGGAAACGCACCGTTTCGCGCTGCCTCGTTCAGCTGATTTACCAGCATGTCATGTTCGCGCCTCAGCTGGTCATGCTCTTGCTGCATTGCCACGATAACAGCCGCCTGTTGCTGCGTTATCGTCATAGCAGCTTGAAATTGCTGCTCTTGCTCTTGGAACCTGCGTTCCAGATCCGGTTGTACTTGGCCCTGAGCACCTTGTGCTGGCGTGGGCAGTGTGGGTGGTTGACCCTTTGGAGCAGATGAAGAACTCGACTCTGCCTTGCGCTGTGCGAGTATCTTGGCCATGCGCTCGCTGACCGACTCTCGGCTCGGCGCCTCACGCGCAGGGCGAGCCCTCGTACGCGTTCGATCACGATGGCTGCCGTGGGATGAGGATGACTTCCTCAACAGAGTCTCCTTACGTTCAATAGTCCTGTGGCTGGGACCACTCTGTACTGGGTGCCTGTAGTCGTAGGTATGCCTAGAGTTAGCGAAACTGCTTCGAGGACCGTATGTCTCAGGTACACGGCCATACTCAGCGCCGTAGCTGCTGTTTTGATAGCCGGCATGATAGCCAGGCTCTTGGTATTCATCAAAGCGCACCTTGTCAGTCGACTTCTGGCGGTCGCGCACTACAATTGGGCGGAGACTCTCCGCGTAATGTCCACGTTGTGGATGATCATGTTGCCTCTCATTAGGCGGGCCATCGCCACCGTTACCAAGGCCTTGACCGAATTGCTGCTGCGGATGATTTGCCATGGTGGTATTCATGGTCGTTCGCAGCGGTGTGGATGTCGATGGTGAGGTCAAAATGTTGGTGTCGCGCCGAGGGTCGCTTCTGTTTAGCCAAGGCGCTAGTGTGCTAATCACGTGCTTAGTGACGCAGCCCACGCACCCTCTCGACCGCTGCCATCACGCAGCGCCATCGCTACAAAGCCAACAGCCGCAAAGATCGGCGCGAAGCCGGACTGGAGAGGCGTATCAACGACCACGGCACAGCAGATGACGAACCGGGAGGCAACCGTGGTATCACGGGACTCGCACTCATGGTACAGCTGCCTTCGCTACCACACTGAACACACCCATCGAATTACAAGTTGAACAACCCAAATCAGACACCTGGACGAACCGGGAACCGATCGATCCACCCCGATCGCAAATTCATGACTGCCTAGGTGGGCTAGATCCAAGCTCTTTGCAATGAGGTTAAAGCAGCTGTTGACTACATCAGGGAACATGGGGGAAATTTGGATGCAGAACAGGAAGCACAGATTGAGGATAGCCGCAAACTATTCATTGAGAGTCTCGAACGTTGAGCGACGCCAATCCAGCCTACACCGCTGGCAATGCCGCAACACGACGAGGGATTTGCAGTGTAGACTGCGGATGTATAGCTTGATGAATATGGGAACAGCTTTCATACATGCATCGAATTAACATGTGTTTACAATTTCAAACTGCGTGTAGCAAATAATGACTAGGTGTGTGTTTAGGAATGACGATTAGGCTGCGACCACAACGTGTCCTGGCATACCGCACTACAGGCCTGGCAAAACACGTTATCACCATACAAACGCGACCGTACTAGAGGTTTCACGGCTGCGGGCGTTAACTTACATTCACTTCACGTCAGTGCGCTGAGCCCTGCCAAGGACCACCCTCTGCACCCGCGACAGAACCCAGCCACGTATCGCCCGCCGCCGCTGCTGCAACCCGGCCTGCCCTCTTCTTTTGGCGCTCCTGGTTGTGGACCTCAGGAGATTCACGGGTACTACTACCGCTTGCTCTTCCTCCCTCTGTGATTGGATCTCTACCCTCGCTTAGCCTCCGCATTTGCTCTTGCCTCCACGCGATTTCGCTGTAGCAACCTCCAAACTCTTTGTCCCGGCATTGCAAGAACGATAAACAGCGACAGCGATCAACAGTATAGCTCAGTCAATGGCGACTGCGAGTGCCGAGGGCAGCGGCGCAGGTAATCTCACCTATTGCAATCACTTCTACGACACTAACACTTTTGCTAGTGCCAAAATCGATCCTGCCTCAGTTCCATAGTCCGCTTCTCCGATTACCTGGCGAGATACGCAACAGGATCTATGAATACGCACTGGAGGACTCAAAACCGCTACGTGTGATTGGTAATCTTCACAAGGCACCATACAAGGCCCACGCAACGCGATTACACCAGTTCAATACACTCAAGCACACTTGTAGGCAGCTTCGCACAGAGACTGCTTGGATGGGTGTTTCGCCGGCTGACGCGTCCTTTCACTCTTCCTATAACACCTTTAGCCAAACCCTCGTTCCTGGAACTCGGCAACTTGAGTGTTACAAGCATGACCGACCCACAGACCGCTTTCTCTCGGATATACCCTTTGATGACTTCGTTTTTTTCTGCCAAAGAAATCCGCAGCTCGAAGTGGCTATCTTTACGCAAGCTCTACGAAAGGATCTTGGATGTCGCGGTTTGCTTGTTGCCGGGGCGGCGCTACAGCGTGTTCTGCGAAGGAAAAAGCTGCCTTTCCAGGTTGATGCAGGTGTTGCAAGCGAAATTAGAAAGATGGCAAGACACATGCACAAGAACACAAATATGAGGTTATGGAGGTTCCGCTCAGGAGGAAGACTGCTCTCGGGAAACATCAAGGTTTATCCGATGGAGGAGTACGATGAAGCCGAAGTGCGGTACTCGTATCTTCAGAAGAAGAAGGGGTTCGAGGATTGGGTCGCGCAGATCAGGGAGTGGTACAAAAACGGCATCTGAGGCATGCTGCTCATGAACAACACGCGCCGCATCGGCAACAAGAAGGACAGCCGGAAAGAAGTGCTTGTATGACGAGAGTTTGGAGATGTCTGGGCAGTGCTATAGTTTCTCGAGTTCTTCACACCCGAGGTAACACGCCGATACTAGCATGAGGGCAATCAGATAGGTACATCGAATATAAGACACCCAATCCCTGACCCATGATATGAATATGCCCGCGCGAAAGTTGCACGTGCACTGTGACCCATTCTGGAAGCTTAGCTACCATGCGCCGGGACGGAGTATATATGGCTAGTATCGTGATGAAGCAGAGTGTTAGGCATCGCGATTCAACGCATGTCATTCATAAAACGGGTGCGATGAGTAGGGAGTATGCGTCGTCCAAGTTCGAGTGCTTTCATGCGTTGACTGGGAAAAAGATGTGTCAAGGGAAAGCACGCTGTCATGTCATTTCTGGTGGCTAGCGGGGCTTGGCGATAACTAATCCGCATTACCCCAGAGCTCCTTCTCCACACCCCATTCCGCCCCATCCGATGGGAAAGAGCCAACACACGCTTTGCAGGAGCCATTGCGAAGGCAAGAAAATACATGGGTTTGTGAGAGGCGTGCTACTACGGCTCTCGCCTTCTCAAAAGTCTTCTACGAATGGTACCGTCCTCACAGCTCCTATGCGACATTCACCACGGCAGCATCGCGCTTCGCGGAGGTGGCCTGAACCTTTCCCAAAGCAGGATGCCATCCGACATGCGGGAAGAGTTCGCGCTTCTCGACTCAGGCAGAGGATGAAAGGAGGCTCAAAAGAGGCGGTACATTAGGCAAAAGAAACGGCAGTCGGCTCGTTCATCACGGGACTACATCATTCATTGGTGGATCGGCGCCTCTCTGGGGTCGAGGAATCTCCACAGCCGGAGGAAAGCCGTCCGAAGCAATTTGTATAAGAGGTCGCGCTCCCCACGGGGTGGAACGTCTGTTTGGCTCTTTTCAGAACGACGGCGACATGTTGCTATCAAGCTTAAGAGAAATGGCTCTTTGGCATTGGTGCGCTCAATCAAATGGTTGAGACTGGTACGTATTTTTGCTTGTTTGGTCACATCACGCATCTTTCGGTTTGCGGTTGGCACCCCATACTCACACCACCCACGGGGTACCTGTCTACTATAGCACGGAGTCAAGGCTAACCATCGTAGACGTGTCTGGAGACTCCATCAACGTGTCTCCCCACATGCGCACCACAACCGTCATCCCACATACTGCCGTTCCCAACATCCGGTAACCCCTCGGTCTCCCGAACATCACCCGGTCTCACAATCTCGACGCGAAAGCGTGACCTGGATGTCGGCACCTGTCACATTGCTCATCTCACGATGCTCTCGCATTGATCCACACGGACCCGTATTTCTCAGAAACTTCAGGACTCTTGGCTCAGGATTTTCACGCTTGGATGCACCCAGCGGGCCGCTAGCGCTGCAACCTCGGAGTCGGAGATGAGGTTTTTATCGCGCGTCGGCCAAGACCGGCGTTTGCTGGGAAACCTGCCAAGTTCGTACCGCCGACACCGAGGATGCGCTGCCAGCGATGAAAAATCACGGTGACGTAGAGGTGGACATCTGACGTCGCAAGTCTCGATTTACCGCGCTCCGCGAAGAATTTGGATATCCCGCAGGAACTGTCACCCCCGGTTTTCTAATGCAGAAGCTCTGGCGCACCAGTTACCGGCTACTAGGACGAAAACGTGCTGCCCTAGCTGGAGAACAACCTTTTCGTTCCGGCTACCCTCCAATGGCGACCAGATGGACTTGTCACCGGTGTGAACGATCCAACGCGACTTGAGGCTCTGCGGAAGCTAGTGAGTGCCGTCACGCCCGTGCGTACACGTCTTGCATATTGTCCAACGATATGAGGCACTTGTCAGCCTCGTCTGCACTATAGACGCGTCTATGCCCCTGCATAAGGAAACATCCCGGGTAGCTCCAAGCTATCTCATAGGCCGGCTGGATGAAGTCTAACATTGGATACTCGGATGGAGCAGTTCGCCGATACTGAAGCGCACCCCATCATCACCATCCACAATGGCTGTGTAAGGGGAAACCGTTGCAGCACGCGATACTGGAGTCACTGGGGCAAGGTCACAAACTATGCGACCCCGTATACGACCCCGAGGGGCAATCCACCAGAACCGGAAGGGTGGTATACTTGCAACAGCTGCAGTGGGCCGATCGTTGCACTATCAACTGTCTGTGCTTCTCGGCGTGTCCAGCAACCATTCCGATACTACGCGATGAAGAAAATTCACGACCGGCAGCTCTCCGGCTCGAGCGTGCTCGTGACAGGCTGCCCCATTGCCAGCTCCAGCTCCACGATGCGATGTCATCATACCTCCGTTGTCAGGGCGCTCGTGCGAGCATATCTCCTTTCGCCTCCATGGCTAGGGCGTTCTGGAAAATGTTAGTCGGATGGATATGCGGATGAGACTGACACTGGGGCTCCACTGTCAATAGACCCTACGAACCCGTCTCCGCATGCATTTTCTGCTATTTATACGGTGCAGCCTTCTCCTCACAGCCCACACTGGTCTCCTCTTCTCCAGCTTCTCTCCAGCTCACTTTGTTTGAGACGTATACCCCGCGCTGCAGACCAGCTCGACTTTTGCTCGATACCCTTTTGCTTTTCTCTATTGATTCCTAATTACCACGCGCTCAACATGACGGTCATGTCGCGTTTCTTCAAGAAGAAGGCGACCGAGGAGGAGATCCACGAGAAGGGAACACCCAACACCGCCACTCCCGCGGACACACCTCCCAGGGGAAACTCTGAGACCGTCCAGGCTGCGGATCTCGAGCCCAAGGGCCGCGTGCCTGCCATTGCCGTTATCCTCGGTGCTTGTGCCAGTATCGGTGGATTCATGTTCGGATATGAGTCTGGACAGATCTCTGGTTTCCTCGAGATGGACGACTTCAAGGCGCGTTTCGGCGGTGAGAACAACGAGTTCTCTGCTGTCCGCTCTGGTGCCATTGTCGGTCTTCTTGCGTAAGTCACTTCTTCCGCAACGCGATGAACGCGTCTAACAATCTCCCAGTGTCGGTACTCTCTTCGGATGCTTAGGCTCAGCTCCTCTCGCTGATACCTTCGGTCGTCGTCTTACTATCTCCGGTTCCGCTTTCTTCTACATCATCGGTGTCATTATCGAAATCACCAGCAAGAACGTCTGGGTTCAGTTCGCCATGGGTCGCTTCACTGCCGGTCTCGGTATCGGAGCTCTTTCCACCGTCGTCCCCATGTACCAATCCGAGTCGATCCCCAAGCGTATTCGTGGTGCCACTGTCTCCTCTTATCAACTGTTCATCACACTCGGTATCTGGACCGCATACATGGTCAACTACGGCACGGAGAAGGACTACGTCAACAGCGCTCAATGGCGCATTCCCAACGGTCTTTCCGCACTCTGGGCCATTATCCTCGGTAGCACCATCCTCCTCCTCCCCGAGTCCCCCCGCTACGCATACCGCAAGGGCAAGGTCGACGAGGCTCGCATGAACATGGCCCGTCTCAACGGTGTCGACCCCCACAGCGCCTTCATCGACGCCGAGATTGCTGAGATCCAAGAGAAGCTCGAGGCTGAGTCTGCTGGCGGTGACCACCCATGGCACGAGATCTTCACCGGCCCCCGCATGCTGTACCGCACTCTGCTCGGTATGGTTCTTCAAGCCGGCCAACAGTTGACAGGTGCCAACTACTTCTTCTACTACGGCACAACTATCTTCTCCGCCACCGGCCTCTCCAACTCATACGTCACCTCCATCATCCTCGGAACCGTCAACGTCGTCGCTACCATCTTCGGTCTCTGGGTCGTCGAGAACGTCGGCCGCAGAAAGGCCATGATGGTCGGTGCTGCCTGGATGGCCATGTGCCTCTTCATCTACTCCTTCGTCGGTCACTACGCCCTCGACCAGAACCTTCCCCAGAGCACGCCCGCTGCCGGAAACGTCATGATTGTCTTCACCTGCCTGTTCATTGCCGCTTTCGCCACCACTTGGGGCCCCCTCGTCTGGGCTATCGTCGGAGAGCTGTACCCTGCCCGCTACCGCGCTACCTGCATGGGTCTCGCCACCGCCTCCAACTGGCTCTTCAACTTCATCATCTCCTTCTGCTCTACCCTCATCACCGACCGCATCGACTACTTCTACGGTCTCGTCTTCGCTGTCTCGCTCGTCCTGCTCTTCTTCGTCGTCTACTTCTTCATGATTGAGACCAAGGGCCGCTCGCTCGAGGAGATCGACACCATGTACATGATCCACGTCAACCCTATTACCAGCGCCAAGTGGGATGCGTCGAGCTTGGCTAAGGACGGCCTTGTCGACACTGACAGGCTGCACATGGGTCCTGGTGGTCGCAACTTCAGCAAGGCCGAGCAGGCTGGTACCCACGGTGGTATCTTGGAGCCTGCCGAGCGCAACGAGAACCAGGTCTAGATGGCTGGTTAAGGGAATGAGGCTATGATGGAGAAGATGCGTTCACGTTTGGAGTGGACTGTGACGGCCTAAGAATTTATCAGTTGTAATTCAGTATGAGTGTCCATCTGTGGGACGGGAAACGGGATGCCAATATGGTGCATGCCCTCAATACATTATCATTAAATCACTTGCAGTCTTCTCATGGTGCATGAATGCTTTTCGTGTTGTTCTCGTATCTCAGACCCAAGTCTTCGACTACTTCGTCGAGACCTGTTCGCCTCCCTAATATCGCAAATATCTCCGACACTTTGATGCCACTCGTCTCCCGTCCCAGATAGTCCATCCAGGTATTTGTATTGCAAAAGCCGAATCCAAGTGATGATTACACCCTACAACGCGAGTTCCGAGAATTAATGATACACACCGGAGTCTGTGTAGTTAGCAAACCATTCCGTAACCCCAAGAATCATTTGGAGAAAATACCTAACTCGCCATAGAAACTCTGATGTTTCTAGACACCCTCTCGCTGCCACTTTTCGATCTCTTTGATGCAGAGCTTGATCTGCGCTACGCCATGTCTCTGTATGTCTTCCTCACTGAAGACAGGTTGGATAAGGTCGCCAGGCCCTGTACCAGGGAATATGCGGATATGACTCGGGATTGGCTCCTCTCGATCAGAGCCAAGACGAACGGCCATCCTGCGCATGAACGGAGAGAGAACAGCATGGTTCTCGTGCATGTGTCTGGCGTACAGGAGGCCGGCAGCCTTCATAAGCCACATATCGGCGGATTCGATTTCGCCGAGAGAGCCGACATATAAGTGAAACTTGATACCGGGCCAAAAGGCGACATATGGCGCCAATATCTCGACTCCCTTGTTCCATGAGCTCACCCATCCCGAGGAACTCGAATATTCGTCGCATAGTGTGACTTGACGAATGCATTGCTGCTGACCCACCGAGCACGCAGTAATGAATGTATAGAAGTCTGCGATCTGCCGGTCAGACTGAAAAGCCAGGTCGTTTAGTCTTAGACCTAAGCCCTTGGTTTCGTCGTATAGCTGGCGACAGACATATTTGAGGCGGTTAGATTCAACCCAGTGTTCGTAGAGTCGATGGCCTCTGAAGCTCTTCGGGTGGGTTTCGATGAGAAGGAGGCCTCTATCTTCCGTGAGGGCGTACTATTAAGCTGTTAGCACGAATAGTAAGACGTCTCAGCACGGCGTTGGCAAAGCATAGCAAGGGAGCTACATACTAGTAATAGGTTAGCAAGATATCTTAAGAGCTATTCGTGGCGACTACTTTACCCTCATAGATTATATCGCGGAGTTCTCTCGGTAGAGCGAGTAGGCGGTTTGGGACCGACGGTGGTGCTGAGCCGCCTGTGGCGAGTGGCTGTGAGGGTGGGAGGCGCATACTGAGTGTCGGCGACAGTAAGTAGTGTGAGGAGGAGGAGAAGCGGAGAGGCAAGTAGAGTCTCAGTGTTGTTGTCTAGGAGACTAGCCCGTTTGCTCTGAGGCTTGGCGGACCACAGAGACTCATATGGAAGGAGCGACTGCATGTGTGACGTCACAACGAAAGGATTGAAGATATCAAATCAAGCAGAAGTATTGAGGAATTGTGTAGTATGAGCCCTGATCAATGTGTAGACTTGGCGACCATCTTCGCGAAAGCCGTTAGAACCTGGACATGGCTGCTTGTGTACTCTTGCAGCCGGAGTCCCTTGGATGTTTTCTGAAAGACAAGCCCAAGTTGAACCTTTTCGCCGTCTCACTGATGGACGCGCCGTGATATCCAAGAAGCATTGGCAACGACTCAGAAACCCTCCTGGAACCACTGTTTACACTGCGCAATCCAATCATCGACATCATCAATGTCAGAGTAGGGAGCAGTGCGCCGGAGTTCTTCCTCGTCAAAACTCCTAGGAAACACTTGTACAGCCGTCGACTCCGCCCAAAAGCCACCTCGAAAGGCACTGCGATACTGTGCCGCGCGGCTCGCGCTATCCCTGAGCTCTGCACTGGCAAGAACAGGAAACGTGCCTTTTATTGCACGCTGAACCACGCTGCCCCACCAACACCAACCCTGGAAACTCTGTTGGTCGGAAAGCCAATCAAGTCGCACCTCCACGGACAGGGCTGGATATTTCTTGCTGATCGTATCTGCCCCCTGCAATTCGTTGAGCAGTCTGCTAGGTGCCGTCTGCAAGATCGCGACCCTTCCAACTCGTCCAAAATTCGCAGCGGAACAGAACTTCTTAGTAAACTTGTCGAATAGTTCGTAGCTGAATGGACCGGGGAAAGTTATCTTGTTATGTCTCAAACCGAGGCCCCTGGTCTCGGCGTACAGCTGACGACAAACGAACTTGAGTGGATTCGGATCGGGGCCTCGCGGATTGTCTGCTGCACGGAGACGAGAGGGAGAGGGTTCCGTGAGAACAAGCCCAGCTTGCTCGGTGAGTGCGTACTCGTAGATTATGTCGCGCAGCTCCCTCGGGAGGTCAAGCAGCCTGAAGTGTCCCGACGCAGCCATCTATAGATATGTCAGGTGAGTTTCTTGAGCGGGAGGCCTAGCTGATGTGTACCTTTGCTGCGACCGATAGACGACAGTCGAGCCGGGCGCTTGAAGTTGAATGAGTGGTTTGCGCTTGCAGACAAACCGTGGAGTTGTCGGTGTAGAGTATGGTAGTGGAGTGAGTGTCGCGGTTTGTTTACAATAGTCCAGCAAAAAGTGGGGCCAGTCGGGGTGAGCGACCTTATGAGGAAAGAGCGACTGCAACGTCACGGTGAGGTCCAGCCGGCTACTGATAATTCGATCTCATGGATCATATATTGACTATTCATCTGCAAATAAGAAGTTCTGCAATCATTTCCCATACGTCCAAATCAGAGGCGCGTCTCGCTATACATGATGCGTCATACGTAACATCTCCATTTTCCCATTCCTTCACTTTCAAACTGGATGTCGTCGCCTTCAATGCCGCCGCTTGAACGCCAAGTGTTGAGAAGAGCCCGTATTATGGTACAAAGAAGAAGATATATCGGTGGAAGTACTGCAAGATAAGAACGCGGCAGAAGCAAAGGGGTATTCTGGGGGTATCTGTGGTGCGACGGTGGGTAGTGGTCGCACGTAAGGATGTTGGTGGGATATGGGGCGTTTGGTAGATGGTATGAGGCGCGATGGAGTTACTGTTCAGTATCTGTTCACCTGGATGCATTAGTAAATCTACGTCTTCAAAGGATAGCGTTTCAATCACTCACCGGTATCCCGGGCCTCTCCGGGCGCCTCTCCTCTCGCGGTACTCATCGTGTTCCTCGATGACTTCAACGACATCGTCGCCTGGAACGCGTTGCCGTCCCTCCACAATGATGCTCCTCGCTCTCGGTGGCGCGCCCCTCCTCTCCTCAACGATGATCTGCGAGCGTCCACTGTTCCGCCTCGGGCTCCTGCTAATCTCGCGGACTTCGGAACGGCGTCGCGACGAGCGTCCGCCATGTGAATTGCGTCGTGGCCTGCGCACTACAATCTCTTCCTCCCCGGCCATGGCCGTGGTCGTACCGGTCTTGTTGTTGGTGTTCATCAGGGACTGGATGAGCCAGCAGATCAGGAGAAAGCCGGCGACGCTGCCGAGCACGATGCCGACAACGGTGCCGGGCTCGGGACCGTCGGTGTTGTAGTAGGTGGGTATTATACCCTGCTGGGCATATATAACATTCTGTCGCTTGGCAATGGGGGCTGCCTTGGGCGCATCGAAGACAATCGCTGGCACGTCGAAGGCAGGCTGTCGGGCGCTAAGGCTGGAGTCGCGGGGCGCCATGTTGGCGAGGAAGCTGAGGGGATCGCGTACGGCCGGCATGTTGAGGTCGAGCAGTATGCGACACTGGCCGCGAGAATGCGCGCTGGCAGCAAAGTGGTGGTGTTGGTATTTGGCGTGTTTGGGGGGCCGTCGTCTGGGGGAACAGCAGTTCCTGGCCTGGAACCGACGATGCCGGCGCTAGTTGTGGGGGAGGTAGATCAATTTGGTGTGATGCAGAACACACAACACAATGCTCGAGAAGGAACAAGACAGTTAAGCAATTGCAAGATGCCGAAAATCCGTCCCAGGTAAGAGAGGTGAGAAAAGCAGGGCGCGCTTGGGGATTTGACACAGTAGTGCGCTGGTTGACTACGACGCCATGATGCAATTATTCATCTTGTTATGGGGGCTGGGGCCCAATAATAGGAGGCTGAACCTCAACACCACCGCCCGCACCGCGCAACATCGCGACACTCAATATTCGGCCGATCTCCCCATGCATGGCTCCTTTACTGATCAATGTTTTCGCGATGCATCGCCCATGCCGTTCACCATCGCGATGCCGCCAAAAGCCATCCGCAACGCTCCGCGGGAGGCGCAACGCCTGAAAGCTCAATTTGACCTCATCTCAACCTCGTACCTGGAACCTTGCTCCTCCCAGTTGACCATCTCTACCCGCCAATACTTGTTTCTTCCTCGCCTATTTCCCTTATCCGACTGGATCGCCCTGCGCCAGATCCTGCTTGCGCAAATACTTCCCGGCCAATTGCGACGGCTTTGCGCGCCGAAGCCACAAATCGCTTGTCGCGCCGTCACGTGAGACTTCCGCGAACCTTCCTGCTGGTGTGATCGCGGCTACCACAACAACACTCTGACCTCCACCCGACAGCATACACCAAGCCAGCGCGAGATTTCATCTCTTCTATCGACTAGCTTTGAGATACCTCCCGCGTTCCTTATTGAACCTTATTTTGCCACCCGTATGCTATTGTCCGCAACTCCATGCACTGCTATTGCTAGCAATGCGTGTGAATAGCAAAGCGCAACTGCTACATGACATGATACCTAACCAAACATCAAGATGAAAAGTATAAGTATTCGTCTGCCCTTGCTCTCAGCGGTTGAGAGATAGTAAAACCCATCATTGTATCCATGATGGAGCCAGAAAACGCACAGCCACAGATCGCCGAGCCAGACTTCATACCGAAGGATTGCTTACGTCTCAACAGTCCATACATGCTTCAGTCCAGCGACAAGAAGGAGCCGAGCTCAACAGGTAAGTTGCTCCTTTTTGCCCTCACATCACTCAAATGAGGTTACATGTTAATGCTGCCGGGGATAGACAAGATCGAACGGGCGGTAAGACCTTTTGATCCTACCCACCACTTCGACACCCTCAAAAGCTCACTAGGACCGACCGGAGATCACAAATGGACGATAGATGACAGCGAATTTGCAAAGTGGCTTGGACCCACTACCGATCAGCTACGCGTACAGATCTCTGGAGGCACCAAGATTGACAGGACCTCAGCAGCTTTGTTCGTTGTGGACCACCTGCAAGGTCTGCAGTCATCGGCATCTTCCAAGACTCAGGTTCTCTACTTTTTCTGTCATCGTCCCTTCCAACAACGCAGGACTGCCAGCGCAGTATTGAAAGGCTGGATGTCCCAGCTTCTTCAACAACGGCCTATCATGATGAAAGACTTTTGCGAATGCGTCGACGATCCCGTCTACTTTTCTACTTACCTCGATCAAGCCAGGATGATGTGGGCTTTCTTGCGACGCGCCGCGAAGCTGCACAGCGAGGGAATTACGTACTGTATACTGGATGGCCTGGAGGAATGCGACACGGAAGATAGATCTCTCATCATTGAACTGCTGACCCTTACACTCCCGCTTGAAGGCTGTCCGGAAGCTGGAGCCAAGTTCAAAATTCTCGTCACTACCAGCACCCCTCTGGATGGTGCGACGTTCAGTAACATCGACCTTACTGCGCACGCAGGGAGCAAACCCTCTTTGTCTGCACATTCGCTTACGATTGATGAGCGCCTCAAAGTCCTCAGTAACGAGGATCAAGTACTATGTTCTAAAGCGCTACAGTTGCTTGCCGCGTTCCTTCATCCACCGACGACCGAACAGTTCCAGGATCTCTTTCCAGAGGAAAATTGGTCCACCGTTTTCGGATTACTCAATTCCTGTCCGACAAAGCTGCTAGTCACTCCCGATCGCATTGAGTTTGTAGATTCGGATGCATGGCTCGCGCGCTCAAAGTCTAAATCCGCGGCTGACTATCACACCAGGCTTGCAAAGGAGTGTTTAGATGCGATCGAGGTTGGTCTTACGCAAATCGACATAGCAGACCTGGAGAACGACGACGAATCTTCCTGGATGTCTCAGGCCTCTGCTGTTCTAAAGTATGCGACAATGCACTGGGCTGACCATCTCAAGCTTTCCAAAGACACCGAGCAAAACCGTATGGACCTCATACTGAGATATTTCGGTCCCAATTCAACAATC